CCAAACGGTTCAAGGTCCAAATGAGAGTTTCAGTGCAGCTTCAAAGGGCTTTAAACGATTCCAGACGATGAATAAGGGTCTTATCTAGCGAAACGATCGCTCATTTAAAAAATGAATAACAAAGTTTAAGTTTTATAAGCTCAAATACTCGCCTTGTGATGAGCGTTCATGACTCTCCTGTTCGAACTCGTTCATTAAAAATTAACGAACCTTTTCCCGAGTCAACTCGTTCGTTGAATGAACCAAATGACACGAAAAAAGATTTGTTCATTTTGATAAACGAGTTTGAACAGGAGAGTCACGAACGCGCATCACAGAACAAGGCTTTTTTTTTTTTAAATGAGCGATCGTTTCGCTTGATAAGACCCTTATTCATCGTCTGGAATCGTTTAAAGCCCTTTGAACAGTTTGCAGTTTGCACTGAAACTGTCTTTTGGACCTTGAACCGTTTGATCCCAATTAAAGTCTATTATATGGAGAAAATTCTAAAATCTTAATTTCTTTTCGACTGAAGAAATAAAGACGTGGACATCTTGGATGACATGGGGGTGAGTAAATTATCAGCAAAGGTTGAACTACTCTTAAGTAAACAATGCTTCAAATCTATTCCATTTGTTGCCACTAGAATCACACAGGTTTAATCAAACACAGCTAAAAGCGAAATCTTGAGGATCTTCATGACCTCACACACACACAGAGCTGTCTATCTGCGCTCCGCATGGCTCCCTCTCTTGAGTGCGACGCTCTTTCATGTCCCTCAGGGAACTCGCACTGTTTGAATTGGTTCCATTTTCACCCTGCGTTTGATGTGTCAGAGCGCCGTGTAATCATCTTTCCCATGTCTTTTTTATCACTTTAGCCTTTTATCCGTCTCTGAGGAGCAGTGTCAGTTAACTGTTGGGCCAACCCACTGTAGACATAACTGCAATATCACATTTTGTGAAGAAAGTGGTTTCCAAGAGCATTGTAAATGGTTCTTGCCTGGGACATTATGTGGATAGGGTGTCACTTGAAGAATCATTCACAAACGCTACAGGACGACACACACTGATTTCATACTTAGTTTTAGAGATTTGATCACACCACACATAAAAATAGAGATTTGATCACACCACACATATAACTATCAGCAACAATAATAGTTATGCTTGACTTAACCCTTGTGCATCCTTATGGACATTTTTGTCCTTTTCAGTTTTGTTTTTTTTTGATCACTTTGCCTGTGTTAAAGCTAACTGCAAAAAACTTGGCACAGGTGTGTTTTTTTATTGGAATTTTACTATTTCACCGTCATTTTCATAAAAAAATATTTTTTGCATTAGGTACAAAAATATCCCCATTGAAACCCATTAAAACTGCCATTTTTAATCCCCGGTTCAGTTAACTATAAAATTATGCAATCTTTGTTAAGAGGCTTTCATTCTAATGTTAAGGCTTCAAAATTTTATTTTTTACTATTTTTTTTTCAGATGGTGTCATTTTTTTTAAAGTTTGGCCTATAAAACAAATATCGCTTTATTCCTGTTTTCTGGTTCGGCATACTACAGAGCCAACTGGATAAATTATGCAACGATATTTGTGTGGGTGTGTTGGTATGGATGTCAGAGTGTGGTTAGTATGTGTGTTATAAAAAAATGTGTGTGTGTGTGTGCATGTGAGAGAGAAAAACTGCAAATTCAAATCCAATCACTGTGAGCACCAGTGGGCTTTTGCTGGCACCCAATGGGGAAAATATGTTACTACGCCCAAACAAACTGTTACCGAAAGCTCATTTTTTGAGATATCATCCTCAAATTTGGAACACAACCTATTTAGATTTATGGCTTTGATTTTATTGCAGTTTTGAGTTCAACCTGATATATATTTTATATAAAATATTTTTTATAAATAATTTTCATAAACTTATACCTATATAACTTTTTTTTGGGGATTTACTTATTATTATTTTTTTTACTTCAGCAATAATCTGCAAAGAGTCTTCTTTAAAATGATACCAAACTTAAGTCTGTGCTCCAAAGCGTCACATTTTTATGACAGTTTTTTGACATGGACATTTTTGTCCTCTTTTTACCTATGTGTAACTTTTTTTAATTGATGCACAAGGGTTAATAAATGCCACTAATTAGCAACATATGCTTCATTGATGAGCCTGGTAAACTTTATATTTTCTCTCTCTGGGTTTATTTTGTATTTGTGTGTATTTTCATAAAAGCAGACCTTGTGTGAATTGCTGCAATTTGCTGTGAAATATCTCACCCTGAGACAGATTTTGAGAGCATTTAGAAATGAAATGTTCAGAGCAGCACAGCATGTACCAGACGACATATTGATCTGCTCACTGCACATGTATGTTTTATGTGTGTATATTTCCATTTACAATGCCGCATAAGCCGTGTGTGTGTGTGTAACTGGTCAAAATGGACTTTCTCCAGAGCACTTTTCTATGTGTGCAATTTCAGACAAGACTGTGATCAAGATGACAAAAACTGATATGCTATTTAAACATTTAGCATCTGCATCTTGCAATCATCATGTCATTTTTTAAGTGTGTTATATACATACATACTCTAACTCTCATATAGAAATGATAAAACAGTGTGTAAGTATGTGTATTGTATCGCAAAATTGTTGAAATCATGGCAATTTCTTAGCTTTTGGTCCATCACATGCATGAGAGTGTGAGATCCATAAAGCTGCAACCCCGAGCTGATCTCTGATGTCATTGATTATTGGTCCAATCATAGGTCAGATTGACTCCTGTGGCGTGAAAAGCCAATTTAGCAACTTCGAAAAGCAGAGCTGTGATTGGCTGTTTTAAGCTGTCTATTGAGTCATGGATTGAATCTCGTGCTGTGTATCGAACTGAGTGTGTTTTATTCAACTAGTCTGCTCTTTTTAACACTTTTACAGCTTTGTGTTGTTTTCCCAATGTTATTTTACTATTTTATCATAGTAATTATTTGGTAACACTTTACAATAAGGTTCATTTATTAAACATAGTTAACATGAACTAACCATGAGCAATACATTTGTTACTGTTTTTGTTCATCTTTGCTAACGTTAGTTAATCCAAATCCAGTATTATTTGTATTACAAATTAGTATTACAGATCCAGTATCACACCAGTATTACAAATTCATTATTTGTTCATGTTAGTTCACAGTGCATTAACTAATGTTAACAAGATTTTAATAAAGTATTAGTAATTGTTGAAATTAACATTATCAAAGATGAACAAATTCTGAAGAAGTATTGTTCATTCTTGTAGTTAACTAATGAACCTTATTGTAAAGTGTTACCAATTATTTTTATATTTTCCTATTCATTCAAATACTGTGTTTTTATTTGTATTTTTTAATGTCTATATTTTAGTACTTCAAATAAATGGAATTTTACCCTTTCCAACAACTACGTTTTTTATACTCTTTTTTTTTTTTTTTAGCTTTGTAGGTAACAACAGTAAAATCAAGTCAGATGAGCTTTATTGTTATACTATATGTAGAGACATGTATGTGTTACATATGAAGAGTTCAGATGCAAAAGCCTCTAAATGCCATTTGAAATTTTCTTCTAAAATGCTTGTAAGCTTGCATATTTGTATTGTTTTGTACAAGCTTGTATATTTAAGTTCAATAATTTCACTTGAATTGCAATGAAGATTACCTATTAATTGTCATTTAAGTGAAATTACTGAACTTAAATATACAAGCTTGATAAAAATGGTCATTTTAGAAGAAAATTTCAAAATGGCACTTAGAGTCTTTTGCATCTGAACTCTTCATATATAAAGATAATAAATCTAACTAAAAATAAACATATCTGAAATAAATACTGTTCTATATCTCAGTTAAATGGTATAGCAGACAAAATGACTATTTTCTTTCTTATGATGCTCCTGTGCATGCTATTGAATTGTGGAAATAGGTTTACATGCATGCAATGTAAAACACACTTTATTTTTCTCGTAATATCCACGGCAGCATCAGCTCTTTCCTCTCAGAGTCTGAAATGGTTTGATCAAGGATTCAGTCTCTCTAAGCCCCGCCTCTCTGAGAGCTGCTCTGCTGTGATTGGCCTAGTCGCCCAGTCTGTTGTGATTGGTCGACCACGTACAGGGCGTGTCTGAAACCAAATGTTCATTAGCATATCTGAATCTCAACTCTTCCACAGTGATACAGTGAACAGTTTTACTGTATAAGTTTACTTTGTCAGCAAAAAACAGCGTCAACAACAAAGATACAACTAGTGTTTGTGGGCGGGGCAAAGCAGACTGTTCAGCCAATGAAGACCATAGGGTAACAACCCACATAGGTTCGTGCAGAAAGTGACTCGTTTCATGCAATTCAGAATCATTTGGGACACAATAACTCAAATAATAAATGCACTTTGACCTTTGAAACGGAGATTTTACATTTACAAACATCTCTGCGTGAAAGGTAATAGTGTAGTAGGAACACTTTAAGGCCGTGTGTCCACCAAAGCGTTTTTATCCAGCTGAAAACGCTAGACGCTCTGCTGAAGACGCCGTGCTTTGGGCGCTTGAGAGCGTTTTGGCAGCGCAGCGTTTTTTCCATTGAGACGTTTCGTTGCTATGATACAGAATATCCGCAGCAGTTGAATGTTGTGACAGTTGGTCGGTGTGGTGTTAGTCCCGCCCCTCCTCCACTGTGATTGGACGGCTGGTTAAAAAGTGACAGTGATGAGCGCTGCGTTTTATCCAAAGTTGAACATTTTTCAACTCCCAGCGACCAGTAAAAACGCTGAGCACTCGGCGCTTTAGCGTGAAAAAAACGCTCAGCGCTTCGGTACGCTCATGGCGTTTAAAAAACGCGGCGCTCCCATTGAAAACAATTGAAAACATATGCCAGGCGCGTGGAAAAATGCTTTGTCAAGTTCAAGTTCAAAGTCAAGTTCTTCATTAAATATTCTGTATCCAATTACAAATGATATAGATCGCGACTAAGTGTTCTTTACTAATTTGTTTTTCAATTTTTCCTCAGGTCAGAGGTCATGAATCGCAGACACACCACCCTGCGAGAGAAGGGCCGTCGCCAGGCCATCCGAGGCCCCGCGTACATGTTCAACGAACGCGGCTCCAGCCTCACGGTGGAGGAGGAGCGTTTCCTCGACGCCGCGGAGTACGGGAACATCCCCGTCGTCCGCAAGATGCTGGACGAGTCCAAAACGCTCAACTTCAACTGCGTGGACTACATGGGTCAAAACGCGTTACAGCTGGCAGTGGGCAATGAGCACCTGGAGGTCACAGAGCTCCTCCTGAAGAAAGACGGGATGGCCCGCGTGGGCGACGCGCTTCTTTTAGCGATCAGCAAAGGGTACGTGCGAATCGTGGAGGCCATTTTGGCTCATCCGGCGTTCGCGGGCGGTTTGAGACTGACTTTGAGCCCGCTGGAGCAGGAGCTGCGGGACGACGACTTCTACGCCTACGACGAGGACGGGACGCGTTTTTCTCACGACGTGACGCCGGTGATTCTGGCCGCTCACTGTCAGGAGTACGAGATCGTGCACATCCTGCTGATGAAGGGCGCCAGGATCGAGCGACCGCACGACTACTTCTGCAAGTGCTACGAGTGCACGGAGAAACAGAGACGCGACTCTTTCAGTCACTCCAGATCGCGCATGAACGCGTACAAAGGGCTCGCCAGCGCCGCCTACCTGTCGCTGTCCAGCGAAGATCCCGTACTGACGGCGCTGGAGCTCAGCAACGAACTCGCGCGACTCGCCAACATTGAGACGGAGTTTAAGGTGAGAAATATGATATTATTATTACTATTATTAAGTTTTACAATACGGGTGGTGCACTAATATGCATTAATTTATGCTTAACTAATGCACAGATAATCATGAGTTAATGTATAACTCATGAAGAACTAAACCATTAATTAATGATTGCTGCAATAAAGAGTCTGTATGATTAATAGATTAAGTAATACACGAATTTCTATTAATTCAACGTGCCATTGTGTATTAATTCCTTATTATACCATGGTCTGGGTGAATACTCGATTCTGATTGGCTGCAGGGTGTCCGTTAAAAAGTGATAGAGGACACCTAATAAAGTAGTTCTGGTGAAACTGCCTGTTTACCATTCGAAATGAATAAATAAATGCGCTGCCCACAACAGCTGTGAGTAACCATAGCAACAGGCAGTCAAAGTATCCGTTAACAATTTGCTCTATCAAAACAAACATCTATTACATAGCCTATTAATACAACAGTGAGTGACTTAGTTATTTCTTTTAACATTTATGGAGAATATGACAACTTTGACGACTTCTTCACCCAGACCTAATAGTATATATAATAACTAATAGTGTAAATTAATGTGTTAATTACCACAATTAGTCAAAGCTATGCACTTCAACTTCTAGTCGTCTGCTTTAATTAATCATTAGCTAATGATTTGCAAAGGTATCATTTTGCTATGACTTTACTTGATGGGGCACATCATTATTAACTAGTCATTTAGTAATTGTAGTAATTCGCACATGAATTTGCACTAACAATGTATTAATGCATATTAGTGTACCTTTCATATTATCTGGAAGTTGAAATACAAGGCTTTGGCTCATACTGGTAATAAACATATTTATTGACACCATTAGTTAAAAAAAGAGTTATTATGGAATTAATCCACAATTACATATTTAATTAATAACAATTCATGTATGAACTAATACATCATACTCTTAATTAGTTCCTAATGTGGTAATCATTAATCAATAGCTTAAATAATCATTAGTAACACATTAATTCAGTATTATCTGTGCATTAGTTAAGCATGAATTAATGCTTATTAGTGCACCCATATTGTAAAGTGTTACCAGTTTGGGTAGATAGGGACAGATACAAATAACATAGGTACACTTTGACAGTAATCTGATGCATGTATCATAATGTTTTTAGCCATAGCTAATTTACAACACTTGTCCCGAGAAGGGCTTTTTGGTCAAATGTAGTACAAAGATAAAAATTGCAGTACAATTACTAGAACCAGAATATGTTTCAGCAGTTTTCCAGAGATGTGTGGTGTGAGTTGCTGGTGATTTTCCACATCACCTCAGTGGCGTTGAGGCCAGGACTCTTGATTTAGTCCGTTCTGTTTTTTTTTTTGGGGTTGTTTTCCAGTTCTGTTGAGCTTCAGTTGGCTTACAGATTGCAAACTTAAACTCATTTTCCCTTGAAGATAGCGAGATTTCCAGGACCGGAGGGAGCAAAGCAGCTCTGACCCATGCCAGCTTGAGGTTTAGATGTTGACGTGGTCTGATTTAGTGTCTTGTTTTGTGCAGAGGGGTTTTGAGATCTTGTGTTGGAGGGATGATTCACATCAGGCATTGCTTCTGGTCAATAGCAAACTCACATTTTGTGAGTGTTTTTTTTAATAATATGGCAATCTGACCAACATCTTTAATGCACCTCATTGACTTTTGAATATCGACTATTTGGGAATGTCAAGGTCATATTTGATCACGTTTAATATAGGCGTTTAATAAAAATACGTTTAAAAATAGGCGTTTAATAGATATAATGTATAATATAATGGCATAATAATGTAATATATAGTGTGTGCATGTTATAAAAAATATATTATATTTTAGCATTATTTTGCAAATAAGAAATGAAGCCTATTTTAAGTCCCCTTAATGTAATCCAAAACTAAACTCAATACAAACTAATACTATGTGTAAGTTTAAATAATATAGAACTATTTTTATTAAAATAATTAAATATATTGTAATTAAATATAAATATAATAATATGTAATACCTATGAAATAATATCTATATATTTATACAATGGACTTTATTTTCTTTATGCAAAATGCTATTTCTTCCTTTTTATGTTGAGTCGAACGTCAACGTCAGGTTTGATGTGATTCTCACCCGTTATAGACTCATTGGAGCACATCCGGTACGTACAGAGGTGTGTGTCATTTTATGTTAGGTAAGGAAAGATAAGAAAAACTCAATCAATATATATATATATATATATATATATATATATATAATGACAACATTTCAGAGGCATGCCTCATCTTCCCAAACTACATTAAAGCAGCAGTGGCACTGAATCTCCAGCAATACAATCAACTCTCACTGTATGAGACCAATGAAGAAGTGTGTGTGCAGAAAGTGTGTGTGTGTCTGTGAGAAATGGAGCAGGAAACAACCAAATAATGTACTTTGAAGTTAATATCTGGGCTGACGACTTTTACTTCTCACCTCCGGTTGATATACGGACATCCCGACCTGTAAGATGAATCTAGCAGAAAGAAGATGAGAAAGAAGCACAATAGCTCTATTAAAAAAGGATCTTTTAGTGTGTAATGTTGCTGTTTGAACATAAAAAATCTCTGTCACACACACAGTTCTTCTCTATATCAGTGTCAGTGTTTCTGAACTCCTGAAACGCCTCCATTGTAGTCTTGAGTTTCTTCCAAGAGACGTCACAATATTCCTCGAATTATTATAATAATTCATGCGCAGAATAAAGGGGCGGGGCCTGGTTGAGTTAGTTAGTAGAGTGTTAAACTGGAGATTATGGGAAGGGGCGGGACATTTCCCAAACACACTCGAAGCGCTCGACCAATCACAACACACTGCTCGAGCTGACCAATCAGAGCACAGTGTGCTTTTCAGAAGGCGGAGCTTCATAGAGACAGAAAGTAAACAGAGCGTTACTGACAGACTGGGAAGAGAGGAGCCGCAACAATGGAGAATATGAGGAGAATAATGTGTTTTTGAACATTGAAGCATGAAGAGCTGGAGCTCAAAAGACTTGATCTTTAAAGTATGATTTCTCCGCTCTACCAAGTCAAATCTTTTGCACGCATGTTTAATGTGAATGTCCCCTTAGAAGGCTGTTGCTTATGTAGACAGCTTGAAACAGAGATGTGTGTGAGGATCAGGCGTAAGTGTGTTTGTCAAGGCTCAGGTGGTGGCGTGTGTGTCCACTACACAACTGTAAATTGAAGCGTTCTTCACACATGAGTGTGTGTAATTAACTAAATCTCGTTTGTCTGTGGATGTGTGTGTGCACTTGAATGTTAATTTGCATAGTGTTTGAGTAAAGCTTCCACACATTCACCAGAGCAGCATCTGTTACCCAGCACACACTGCTCTCGAATGAGTCTGATCCTCGGGGATCTGATCCGTCTGTGGCCCGAATCAGTTCTTTACACACCGCATGTGTTCTGCGGAGATGTTTACTGAAGTTTTATCCAGCATCTTGTAGTTTCAGTCTCGGATGAATAGAGCGTTCATGGACCGTCTGATGCAAACAGGGTTTTAAAGGCCATTTGATGATGAAAAGCTGTTGTTCCCGCAGTTTCCTCTTGACGGCCGGTAGTGGATTGGTTAGTCAAACCCAATCATTCTTTGCCTCTTTCCACCCTGTAAAGTGGCTTGTGCTCTCAAACCTCATATCAAATCTATCAGGTGTTTGAGTGGCGATCAGACACCGGTCCGATACGTCTCTACACTCTTAGAAGAAAAGGTTCTATATAGAACCTTAAAAGGTTCTATCAGCGCTACATATTTGGAACCCCTAAAAGGTTCTATAGAGGGAATGCATTTGACACGTGACAACCCCCCTCAGCCTGACCGAGTGGCAAAAGATCTGCTGCGTGACTGGATTTAATAGGGGAAAACTGCGGAAATGCGACTAAATCGAACAATTTTATCAATTTAAACTAAATGTTGGACTCAATATAGTGTTCCTTACAACTTACTAAAGATCCAGCGATCCATGGATATTGACATGCAGCCGGGAATCGTGTTGCCTGACATTTATGTTTGCCTGATTTCGACACCGGGGAAATAAAGCAAGACCTAAACGTAAAGCAAATTTGCCTGTGAACGCTTTATATAAATATACAACGCATTCTCATCCCAAAGCGCCATATACAACGCTTTTGCAAAAGCGTAAATATCCAACGCACATGGCACCCTTTAACGTCTAATGAGACGCTTCGGTTATGGTTAAGTTTAGGTATGGTCACGGTTTAGGGTAAGGGTTAGACCACTAGGGGGCGCCTTCTGCCCAAATATATCTGCGTCTCATTTGATATTAAAGAATGCCATGTGCGTTGGATATTTACGCTTTTGCAAAAGCGTCCTATAGACCATTTCACAAGATGTAAACAACACTGGTCCAGAAGCACTTCCTGTTTCAGTTTTTTAACACTACATAAAAGCTGGGATAAAATACAACCAACAGAACATTTAAAACAGAATCAAAAAGTTAAACAAACATCATTAAGATGTTTTCTTTATGTGAAATAAAGAAAACAGTTACAAACTGAAACAGGAAGTGTTTCTGGACCAGTGTTGTTTACATCTTGTGAAATGGTCTATATGGCGCTTTGGGATGAGAACGGGCTCAAATATAATATAGGTAGGTCTAAATCCGGGTGATCACTTATATCAGTGTTATATATAGCCTATATCATCATATCGTCCAGCCCTAAAACTTTTTCTAATAAAAAAAAAACTTTTTTTTTATTAAAAAACATCCAATAAAGCAGAATATGCAATGATAAATATTTAATTGATGAGCTGATAATGTATATAACAATACAAAATATATGGGTCTGGTTTTCCAGCTAAATTCAGCATATTGACATAAAATGATAACTGCAAATCCACCTTTCGCTGACTGGAGTCCAGTGAATTGCAGCGATCCATTTGCTCCTCTTTCCATAGCAGTCTGTAAAAATATACCTCCGATGTTTTGTCAAATCTAGT